ACTTATTGTTCAAGCATATAACGTTTATATGAGATGGCTTTAAACAATAATCTTTACCCTTATATTAAACTAGATTAGTTTAACATGTGAAATGTCTGTAAAGTATCATCATATGATTGGTTTTAGGACATATTTCCAACAAAGATAGTATGATTAAGCAAATAATGTGAAAATGTGAACTAGAGTTTTGGCATAAAGCTATCACTCCCAGATACTAGTATGTGTCCAATATCAGAAATCATACTACCTGAATACTGGTTGACAATTCCAGGATATCGGATAATATCGTCAATTGGTAACGCCATTATAGGCTAATTACATATTAGACCCTGCTCGAGTGGATGGTTTAAGAGGATTGGTAAAAAAACTAATATTATGAGGTGGTTTCATTGATTCTAAGGAAAATTACTTACTGTTTCTAGGATTTCTACTACCCCAAGGTATTGTTATTCATACTCTCGTGCCTATACCCATCGGATGGATGAGTACAACATTGAAAGCAAATATGGAAACTAATGTTGGTTGAAAGTTCTAAGATCAGAAAAAAAACTTGCTAATAACCTATTTTAGAAAGGACTTAAGCGTAAGTCGATCTTCCTCCTGAAGATCCGAGGTTATAACCAATGTGCTTGAGAAGATTAGTGCTATCGGGGACCAAAAGTGATTGTCCCATATGTTCTTCCGTCAAGTGCTACCACTTTAGTACCACATTGTTGTTCAAGAAACTTCCAGAGATTTCGACAAAAGTAAAGCTTTGTAGAGTTCTGATAAATGGTATACAATGGGTACTGCCAAGGAATCAAAGCTATTTTTGGTTTCCTACCTCAAAATGTTTGATAATGATAGTGGGAGAATAGTGATGGGATTTTGATTGACAATGCTCTGGAGATACACCACTACTGATACATTAGCCTTACCTCAAGGCCACAAACTCGTCTCCTAACAGAGATTTTCCTTGGCAGGAAGGCTCTTTGTTTAAAGTTTGGAGGCGGTCACCAAAACGATGTTCTAGAATATCAATTAGTCGTCTAGGTTACGCAAACTTAGAAAAGTTAACACATTTTTTGTATTCGACGAGGTGACAAGATTTGAAAATTAGGCTCAAAGACCAAGAATGTTTACATCACGCGTGTGATGAACGCAATACTGCCCAAACTTATGCCCTGATACCAAACTGACACACCCTGACACGGGATGTCTACTCGGACTCCGAATCGAGCTGTGTTGGTCGACACCTGGAAGGTGATGAAGCCATAAAGTGTAGTGATGTGGAAATTGTGAATAAATTTAAACCTAAAAGTGCCTAAATACAAAAGTGCGCGGTGAGCAGGAATGAACTCATTTCACACGTGATGACAACGAATAAATACAGTACAGTAAAACAGGGTGAGAATTATACCATCGATGGTAATCCTCTACACCAAGATTCGCCAATAATTTTCGTCGGTACAAAAACTATGCTACTAGAACCTGGAGGGGCGAAAAACAAAGATAAGTAGGCCTAAAAATAAAGTTTTAATAAAAACATTTGGAAAATGTTATAACCCCTTACTATTAAACCTGTATAGTTTCCAAAATATCATACTACGTATAAGTATGAAAACCAAATGAATAAAAGCATTGACAACAAAAGCATGCCATGTCACAATATCTCAACAAATATAAATGTAAGGCAGGTGTGAATAAATCAACTAGCGTGTCAGTTAGAGTCACCTAATGTAACATGTACGACTGAACCTATTGCTCATCAGTCATATACCAACACACGAGTCCGAGTCACCTAATGTGACCTGTACGATAGGCTAGGTGTAATAATAAACGCTCTAGTGCTACGATCACGTAAAGCTGGCGCTATGCGTGGGTAACCTACATGTCGAAACTGCCTAATGCAGTCTATATGACAGGCTAGCACCTATTTAGATCCAAGGCGAGCGTACGGTGAGGGAGGTGAACATACACGTGAAGGTTGTGCCCTGGCCCTGGGCGGGAGCACTAACACCGGGTGTAGCAATGATGAGCACTATATGAACATATGCATGCCAAATTGATTCAACCATTTCAATCCACCATATAACCTTACCTGGACTTACCTACGCGACCCGCGTTCACCTTAACATTTCAAAGCATTCACAACAATTATATGCAGGTAATATGCATATGGATATGCCATGATGCAAACTAAAACTCAACCATATCATAGTATTTACAAAAAAAAAAAAGTGTATATATATATATATAAGACATGGCATAAAATGCGTAAATCAATTTAAAAGCATTTGTGGAAACTATCAATCGTATATATACTATAAAAAGGAAAAGACCCACTCACCTGGAGTCTGCGCTACAACTCCCTAGCACGAATATCAAGGCGTGCCTAGAACAATTATCCAATCACGTCGCAAAATTCTTCGAGATAGAACACGTAACTTACATAAAATAAATCCCCCAATGACGTTTTAGAATGATTTGTAACCCATTGACCAAAAGTCAACCATCAATCAATGGTCGACGGTAGGGTCTACAACCCTACGTAACTTGATCTGGAAGATCCGCTCCTTAGATTTCTGATCCGTAACTTCCAGAGATTCACATTATTCTTCTAGAACAACATCCTAAAGTTTTAGAAGGATCCAACGATCAAATCTCCGCCAATTGCAAATTCAAGTGGCAGTCAACGTTTTATTTTACAAACTTACAAATCCAACTCGGGAAGATCCATACGCCAAATTCCTGATCCATAAGTTCCTAAGTCCTCAAATATTACAAATAATAACCTAGTAAAGTTTAGTGACGATCCAACGATCGGGTTGTCGATTCTTATAATGACCAAATAACGAACCTTAGCGAAATTATACCCAAACAATGGAATTTCGTTAATCGGACATCACATATAGAATTGGGGTATCAGGTTTAGCCTAGGAAGGTTAGGGGTGTCTCGGCCCAATAGCTGCCACCACGCGCCGCCGCGCATGGCGGTCGGCCGTCCCGACTCGCAGGAAAATTCTACTATTTCTAAAAATTCTCAAATTTTACAGGAATGAAGATCTCAATGAGTAGAGCAAGTTTCATACCTGTGGCCAAGTCCAATTTGGCCGAGAAAAGCTTCAAATCGCCAAGAACCCGCCAGAACCCTAGAATTTGGGTGTTCTTCAATTCGATCGATCTGCAACACCACCGCATCACCCCTAAACCGTTTGGGCTTTGTTCCTGACCTCTAGAGAAGTGTTTTGGTGGTGTTGATTGAAGGTAAGTGTTTTAGAAATAGGTATGGATCGCCGCTTAGTACCCATGAAGCCGTGCATCGGCCTTCATGAAATTGGAACCAAAACTCTCTGTTTTTGGGCTGAGATGGTGGATGGGAAGCCACATGAGTGATTTGCATGTGATGGATGGTGGTGATCAACAAGAAAAATAGAGGAAATTCACTGGATTTGGGTCGGGTGGTGCGCGGGTGTAAGGACCGACAGGAAGGCTGGAGCTTCCCTTTTTTTTTTCTTTTTTTCTTTTTTTTTCTTCCTGATTTCTGATTGGTCCTTACCCTTTAATTTGATTGTTCCCTTATACTTTGCTTAAAACTAATTGGGCTTCTTTCCCACAAGGTGGGAATTCAAATAATTTATAATCTAAAATGTAAGTAACCAATTTCAAATGTCCGAAACTATACTGCTATAATCTAGACTCGCAAACGGCTTTTGCATATGCGTTCGTACCATTGAGTACTATGCAAATACGCCAAAAGAATAAGTCATATGTTTCTCTAGACGATAGTCAACGGAAGTCAAAATCCTTGCCTCTAGGGAGTTTTCGTCAATCACACTTTTAAAATTAATAAAAATGTAAAATTAGGGACGGGTTGTCATACGCTCACGCACATGCAAGACGCTTTTTTCAATAGAGGGTTTTTATTCAGTTATGGTTTTTTACCAGTTTATCCTCATTTTTAAAAATTTTTTGGTCTTGATTGTGAAGTAAGTATATAGGGACATTTTCAAAATTTTGAATTGCTTTACCATTTTGGGCTCTCACTTTACATATATAGATTTTGTTGGTTTTGATTGTGAAAGAACTAAAGGGCCATTTTCGGCATTTTGGAATGCTGCACCGTTTTGGGGCTCTTATTTTTTATATACATAAATAAATAAAAATTCAAAAAAGAAAAAAAAAATTGGAATGATCTTTTACTCCTGCATGTGGATGGAATTTTGACAAATTTGTTTTGGGCTACCATTGACAATGAACTCCACTATAAGAATTAAGGGCGTGTTTATTTGCCCTCCTTAAGTTTCCTTGGAGGGGATTGGCTTAGTTAAGCCTACTAATACGTGTTTGGTAATAGCACGAACTAATTTAAATGGAATTAAGTAGGACTCGGTCCGACTAAAAGCATCACTAAGTCGCCTTAGCCAGACCCATCAAAATGCATGGGATTACTAATCCCGTCTCCAACATTGTTGGCACGTCTTTGTCGTTTGCAACTTCAACACCCTCACCCATGCCCAGATCTGAAACCCACCCCCACCCTCCGCTTAAATCTCAAAATCCAACCCAAAAATTCAAAACAAAAACAACAAAACTCCTAGATGCACCTGTAGACGAATCCTCCACACAAATTCAAAACAAAGAAATGACGGCACCGTTTTGAAACGAAAATAATTCTATAAAAACGTGAAATGGAGGAAAATAGATGAAGGGAAGAAAAAGAGAAAACGATAGATGATTCTAGAAAAAGAGGTGAGGGAGATAGTGGGCGGAAGAAAAGAAGTATAGAGTAGATGATTCTAGAAAAAATAAAAAGATAAATTAATAATAAAATATTAATAAATATGGATTAAATAATATAATTTATGAGTTTGCAAGTTATTATGTTCTTAATCTGACGTTATACTAAAAAACTTTACTAATACAATTCTGCTTAGTTTAAGCCAAATTACTCCCTAACAATAATCGAGTTCAAAATAATTCGACTTAACAAAAGCACCTTAACTGTTTTTTCATAAAAGTAGTGTCACACTAAGATCGCGAAAATATTTGGCCTAATGTATTAACCCTTTCCCCGTAAAGCCGCCGCAGGGGCGCGGAGAAGACAGGGAGTGAACGCTGAACTGCTCAAGGTAGCGATCGAGATCGAGATCTCTCTTTTTGGCTGCTGTCGGCGACAGTAGCCGGTCACCAAGACCAGCGACACAGATCGCAAATCGTCTCCGTTTGGTATCGTGCGATCGGGAACGCGGGTCGCAAGGTAAGTCCACGAAACTGTAACCCTGATATTTGCACTCCATTTTTCATCTTCTGCATCTACCTAGGTACACTAAATTTTGATCATGGTATATTGGAATCTTCTTGTTTGGTCGTCTAATTTAGTACTTTGATTATAGTAGGGTAGGCACTTTGAAATTGATCAAGTATTACTTCATGAAGCCACAACCTAAAGGACGATCTTCTGACAGTACCGATCAATCCATTAGGCAGCACGAGGCTGGTTCCTGCTACGACTTTACCAAGATATCTGAGGCTCTACATTTAGCACACAACTCCCTCGACAATGAGGTAGTTTATCATTGCAGCAACTCCATTGTTATGGAGAATGAGAGTGCGTCGCGTTCTTACGACTTCGGAGAGATGTCCGAGGCGCTGTCTAATTGCGAAGATGAGGACAGAAACTCTCTTGCGTTTCGTCAAGCGCTCCTCATCAAGCTTGGAAGGCCATCTTTCTTAAAGACTAGGGAAAAGATGATCAGATCAGAGCCTCTCAAGGTAAGGAAAGTAAAGCTTGTCAATGTGAAGACAGGAACAGGAAAAGTACCAACTTTGTACAACATAGCCTTGAGATCATTGAGAAAGCGTAGCTAATATATTTAGTTATTTTTGGAATTTATCCTACATTGGAAAGTGCTCTTGACGATATCGTTCCTCTTACTATATAGTTTAACATGTCAAATTCTTATTGACTTTTGACAAGATTAACAATCTAATAACATGACGTTCCATTCTCGTATTATGGTTAAGTAATGTTTTCAAACTATCTAAATCCCTTTTACTCTATTTTTCTTTTACTAAACACTTTGACGTGTGAGACACTTGTTATCTTTTGATCATAGGGCCAGTTTGATAACATAATATTTCATACTCATATTGACAATCGGATAACTAAATGATGAATTATAATTATGTCTATTATTTGTCACAATCCTATCGGCTTACAGTTCTAACTTTCCATGGGATAATAAGAAATAGGTTTCAGATCTTGTGGACTGCCGGAGATTGGGGTTAGACTTTGTCTGGTATCTCTAAACATTTATGAACATAAACTCTAGCTTTCAGGTTAATGTTTACTTTTGCATGGGATAACAACATCTGTACATCTTCCCTGATTTTGTCTCTATCTGTGTCCGTGATGACACTACAAAAATAGATATCCGGGCACCTTGTGTGTGCAATTTATATGTTTAGGGTTTTGGTTTGGCTACAACTTGCAACTTTTGTATTATCTCGTTTTGGTTATCATATATGCATGCATGTATACTTCGATGTCCTGTACTGTCCTTCTGTTTGTTTTGCCTCACATTTGTGTAGGCCCCTCTAAATCTTACAAATGCAGTTATGCAATAATTTTTTTGTATTTTTCCACTCTTACCTGACTGATCTGAGCTGCTCTCAGGGTGTGCATAAAACTCACCTTTGGGTTAAATATTAGCCATGGTTAAAGAATTCAGATCTTCTCTAGATCTTGCAATCTGGAGACGACAAATAGAGAAATTCGTATCGTTCAAGAGAGGGAGAGAGAGAGAAAGAGAGATCCGAACCCTTGGTCTGTATGAGGTGAGGATTTTAAATGAGTGGTCTGAATTTCTTGGTCGTCAACTCTAGACTTCAAGATCTTCCGGATCTCGATTCATGGTTAAAATCTTATGATGAACTTAGTTTTGATCTCTTTGGTTTGGTTGCTTTGCAATGAAGGAAAAAAATTCCTATGATTGGGTGAATGTTAATTGGTGAACTGAGTACATTACATCTTTTGGGAGAATGTTAATTGGTTCTCCTTTGGGATTTACATAGATTTTTCTTTTTCTTCCAGGGGTTCAAGTTGTATGGATGACTCTCAAATTACAGACGGTCCTTCATGCTTGTGTATGTCATCTGTCCCTCACGTTTCAAATCGATCAATGTAGTCGCATTGATCATCATTTTCAACAAGGTTTTTGTCACAAAGTTGTCGCTAGAACATATACTTAAGCTTACAGTTATAGTCTAACAAATTAATCGTGAAATGTCTTTCTTTGGTCACGATAAAAATGTCTTCTTTCCACCAACATAAAATATTCTCCCATGTTAAAAAATTATTGCCAAATGAATCCATACCATAAGAAACCCAACAGAACATCTCAGTTAATTATGTTTGTAGCGGAGATTGATGATCATTTTCAAAACCACCACACTTATGACTCTGTACTTTTCTTCCGAACTCGAGTTCATATTTGTTTATGTAGTTTAAACTAAGGTAGTGTCAACTATCCCTTCTGTTTGTTTCGCCTCACAATTGTGCAGGTCCCTCTGAATCTTAGCTGATCTCAAGGTGTGCATAAAATTCACCCTTGGGTTAAATATTAGCTATGGTTAAAGAATTCAAGTTCTCTCTGGATCTCGCAATCTGGAGCCAACGTATTGAGAAATTTGGACCATTCAAGAGAGAGGGAGAGAGATCTGGACCCTTGATCTGTATGAGGTGAGCCATGAAATGGACTAATGGGGGTTGTAGGATTTTGAATGAGTGGCCCAAATTTCTTGATCTGTCAACTCTGGACTACGAGATTGGGAGAGAGTCTCGATTCATGGTTAAATTCTTATGAACTTAGTTTTGATCTCTATGTTTTGGTGGCTTTGCAATAAACAATTAAGTTGGGAAAAAAATTCCTGTGATTGGCCTAAGTTTTTTGGTGAATATTTCTTTTTTCCTTTTCAATAAAAGCAATACTGAAGAAGAGAGAATTGAACATAGGACATCGGATGCAAAGATAAAACGCTCTAGACCACCAGTGCTATAATTCCATTACATGTCGCTGATTTTTGGTGAACTAGGGTTTAGGGCGAATGAACCCATATCATAAGAAACCCAACAGAACATCGCAGTTAATTATGTTTGTAGCAGAGATTTGATGATCATTTTCAAAACCACCACACACTACCGATGTTGCGGTGGAATTGTTGAAGCTATCGACATGCCCGTACAGTTCAGGAAGAAATTTTCTAAAAACTCTGTACGGCCGGCACCCACAACAAGGCCTAAATAGCTCGTCCCACAGCCATCCACCTCAGATTTGTGTCGCCGAAATATCCCAAGCGTTCCCCGCCTATTTATTATACTCAAACAACATGACAGAGCACCTCATCTGCGTGGCCGACGTAGTAGCCCAAGCGCACCACACCTATTATAGTAAGACAACATGACAATGAGTCTGGTGCTTGAGAGGTGCTGAAAGGGACACGCTGTGTAGCACACTTTCCTTGTTCAACATTTGAATCTTTTCCTCCAGGCTTGAGTTTAGCCATGGTTAGAAGCGTGTGTTTTTTTTTCTGCACTTGAGTTCGAATCTCTTTATGTAGTTTAAAATAAGTTAGTGTCGACTATCACTTCAAAAGTATTTTTTTATTTCCCAAAGTTGATCAAGTAGGAAAGCTCATAACAAAAGAGTAATACAGATACAATAATGTGCTTAGGACGAGAGATGCTTATATTCACATTGTATGCAAACTTCATTAGAAGAGAAAACAAAAACTTTGGGAAAGCAATTTTGTTCAAATGTTATCCCGAATCGAGCCCTTGTATCTTGTACTAGTAGGATACGACCACCTCCATAATAACCCTTCGAACACCAAACATGGCCTCCACTTCTTTCTCTTTTAAATTTTGTAGCGTATTTTAACATTGAGAAGATAAATATCTTTTGATCAACAGTTAGTTGGCATGATGGCTGTACTAGTATAGATTTGGAGTCAATAAAGTTGTACATGGATCGACCATAATAAACACTAACATAAAAATTCTAAAAGTCATCATGATTCAAAAATATTGGAAAGAGAAATACTACTAAATCAATATCTAGTTAGTTGGCATGATGACTATACTTGAACTCATTCAAGTTTTACATGAACCAACCACAAAAAACAGTAGCGTAAAGATTTCGAAGCTATAATGATCCACAATTGTTAAAAGAAATACCACTACACAAAAAGTTATTTGATCATGGTGAATACACCTAATTAGAGAGTTAAATTCATGCACCTAACTCATTTTTCTTCTCTTATGTTTTTTTCATTCAGATTTTGACGACTGTACTAAAACATCAAAGATCTTTTCGCCCTTTTTTATAGGAAGGGAAAAGAGTTACACCGAGCAGCCTATAGGACAAGCAAAGTTATAAAAATCCCAAAACCAAACAGAACGAGCCTCAACAGGAAGTTTTGTCACCACAAATGATTAATAGAAGGCGCTTACCTAACTCTAACTAGCGCATCCGTTACAAATTAGCTTCACAGAAGTATGATGTGATGAAATGTCTTGGAAATAGCAAGCAAACTTTTGAATGTTGGACACCAAAGTAGATAGTTGCAGGGGGTAGAAGAGGTCTCAAAGTATCAATAAGGACCTTAGAATCACCCTCCACCTCCAAGCAAGAGAAACCAAGATCGTGATCAACTTTATGAAACAGAGTCATTGAAGCCTTATGACAAAAAACCCAATCATTTCGTGCTCCCAAATCTGCCAACACAACAATAAAGCAACACATAACCTTGGGAGGAAGACAAGCAAAATTTTAACCCTTGAAGGAAGACAAAGCTTCCAAATCTTCTTAAACAAAGGAGCACGAGTGTGAGAATTCTCATTCTTATCAAGTAAATCAGTTGCAGATTTAATAGTGTACCTACCCGAAGGATTAGAGCCCCAGACAAAGTTATTTTTTTGTCACCTTCAGGTAGAGGAATTGCGCGAATAACCTCCACGATGTCAGGATGAAGAACTAAAGAGAGCAATTTTGGAATATCCCAACAATAATCTCTACTAACATCACTAAACGTAAGCGACCAATCAATTGATTGTCGATCCTGATCAGAAAGAAAAGCAGCTAAAGGTTTATCTAAAACCCAAAAGTTAATATCCCAACGAAACCTTCTTATTAAAATATCCCTTGCGAAAAGGAAGCATTCCTGAGATACTTCAGCCGGACTAATCGAACGCACCATTTAGAGTGATCAAAGAGCATCCTCCAACCCAGCTTGGCAACGGCAGCCTCATTAAAATTCATGACAGGTCTTAGACCCCGACCACCCGTATCAAATGGTATGCATACATCTTTCCAAGCAAAAGGAGGAGGGGCTCTAGTCGCACCCCAGAGAAAGTATCTTTTCCCATTTACCCTTTTGTAAAAATTAATTCGTGAAATATTATATAGAAAAATTTAGGAACCTTGTAATTCAGTTTAAGAGCATTACTCTACCACCTATATCACTTGTATAAAGTAAAAGAAAGGCTTATTTTTAGCTATGCCTTGATGAACTTGATTTTGATCCTATTTTGTCCCCCGAAACTCAAAAATCACCACTTACTATTGAAAACATAAAATTCACTTCATATTGCCTTGTTTCTATTATTTCCATCCAAAACAATCAAATATACTAATGTGGTTTAAAAAATACATTTTTAGAAGGCTTATTCTTAACTATGTTTCTTGGAACTTGATTTTGATCTCATTTTGTTCTTGAAATTCAAAAGTGGTCACTTTAGTCCCTGAAACTCAATATTCGCTCTACTTTAGTTTGTTTATGTGTACTCTGTTTGTTGGGGGACTTTTAGATTGAAGTGGACTTGAGCTTTGAGAACGTCCTTTTGTCTCCCTTGGTTCAGTTTCATACCAAGTCCTAGAATATCTCGAAAGAGTTAGTTTGTCTTA